GTCATTTTTATGTTATTTGATACGGTAACATGAGTGCATATGAGCCGCGTCATTGTAACTTCTGTACTGTTAGCCAGGTATGGGTAAAAGGTCAATATAATAAATATATATAAATGTATAATGTTATGAGATTTAAGCTATTTCATTGAAACATTTATGTTTTCATATTATAATTTGTGTTCATTCTAGAATGAAAGAGGCATAATTTATGTTTATTTCCTAATTTTTTATCGTGGTTGCGAGATCAGTCAAATTTACTAAACCCATACAGAGATTAATTACTGAAAATAACAGATAAGATATAAAGTTTTTTCTTAACAAATGTTTGACAACTATCTGGACATTATAAAGATTTTGCATGTGAAATTTAAAATTTTCTGATGCATAAAAGTATTTTTAATTTTAAAATGAATATTACTTTGCATGATAGATAGGCAAGATGTGAAAAGAATAAGAAAGCATGAGAGAAATATTGCTTTACTAACCTTAAAACTTAATAAAAAAGTTAGATATTTTGCATATGAAAGCATTGAAATATTTACTGATAAACTGCCAAATTTCATTAACATTTGCTTACAGATTTAAAAGTTAAAGCATGTAAACTATAACAAGAACAAAATGGTTATGAGGTTGGTTCCAGGGACCGAGCCCGGGTTGAAAGAATTAAATATCTGGTATATATATATAATTTAAAACTTGATTGCAAAAGTAAATATTTATAGCTGAATTAATTTTAGTGATTTACAGTGTTATATTTTTTTTATCTGTGTAGTCCTTGATGAACCAATACTTTGATCGAATGCAGACGTTTGCTGAAAACAATGATCTGCCATCTCGTATACGCTTTATGCTTCAGGATGTCTTGGAGCTGAGAAGGAACAAGGTAAAATTTGAGACCTATTTAAAAACTACTGTAAGTTGTGTTATTGAGCTAAGTGTATTTTTAGGAAAGACATTATAAGCCTTTTCATCTTATTAATATACTATGAGTAACTATTTCGCTATGGGTAGGTCAAAAGTGCCTATGACACTGTCATGACCCTTTACACAGATACATTCAAAATTTAATTAAACTACTTTATTATCAGTGTTTAACTAAACTTGGTATGAAAATATCAAATCAAATTTTAATATTATATAAGTTTTACAGAAATACTTAACTAAATCCCAAATCTCGACTTGTATGAGAATAATGACATTTGTTCTCTAATTTATTTACTGACCCTCTTTGAAGTACATAATTTATTGCAAATTACTCATTATAATTATTACGAAGACCAGGTTTAATTTTTATAGTCTTCAATCTTCTTTGTTTATGAGGTCGTAAACCAGAAAGTCGAACCTACTTGCCATGCCCACCTGTCGCATCCTCGCTTTTACAAACCGCCAATAATTCTTTCAGAAGTTTTATATTATATCATTCATTACTAATAGAAAGGCAAAATTTTAATGCTGAATGATGTATAATGTGATGTTTTCAGTGCACAGTATTGTAAGTTTCATCTTCAGTTTGAAAGTTTCTCTCAGTGTTCAGGTTGAGTAGCTGATGGAATTATTTTAAGCTTTTCTTATCTTAGTTAGAAAGCCAGTTAAATTATAATAATTGTCAGGGTTTTAAGTATATGGGCTTGGATTCTTTACAGTAGGTGTTTGTGATTTGTTGGAGATAAATTTGTACAATAAATGGCAGCACACAATCCACTTTTTAAAATAATATATTCAAAACAAGTCAAACATATGTACAAAAATTCTTTACAGAATAGGATATCACAGTTGTATTTAAAGCTTTAAATAACTTTTCCTGTCAAAAGTCCACACTGGCTGATTCAATTACTTTAGAATCCAACTGACAAGACAAATTATTTTTCTCTGTACTGTTTCTTACTGTACAGTCTGTGATAGATTCACTTAAGTTACACTGTGGGTACTACAGTTGCATCCAGAACTTTAAATGATTGTCTCCTTTCGTTAAAGTCCACACAGGCAGGTTCAATTACTTTAGAACACCCTTTGACAAGACAAATTTATTCTCCTTATCTCCTTATTCACTTTACAATATCGCCTGTTACGGCTAAACTAACAATCAAGTAGTTTAACGCCTCTTTCACTGACTTGACTTCTCTGTATCTGCACGTATTTATAATGTGCAACAGAAAAATATAAAAATATCTAGCTCTCTATTAGCAACAATATTCACATAGCGAGAAAACTTAGAGACTTCGAGAAAGATGACATCAACAATATTATGTAATGTACAACTCAAACAAAGTTATGTAACGAAACTTGTCATAACTGTTGCTTTTAAAATAATTAACTTTTAACACATTTGTAATGGAAACTAAATCATCATTAAACATTAAATCACTAGATAAATCAAATAATAACTCTTAAACTAAACAGTCTTGTATATCCAACAATAGCTATAGGTCATTGTGTGTTGTTGTTGTTGTGTGTTTTTAGGTGCATTAAGTAAATAAAAATCGTGTACTAGTAGTATAAAAAAAGTAGTTTTGAATTTCTTCATCAACTGACAGTATAAAAACTGAAGTCATATAAATACTGTAGTTTTTGTTTTTTCATGTATATTATTTATTTATTATTATAAAAGTAACTAAAATGTAAAAACTTTTTAGGTTAGGAAATTTAACACTTACTTTAACCTGTATGCCTTTTGTACTTTGGTGCATGGTTTACTAAGCCTATTTATTCTACGTTGGTTATCCAAAAAATAGTTCATGGAACTTTCATATATGGATCTTAGAACACAAAAAAAATATATCAGACACTGAAATAGAATATCCTAAAAGTAATTATCTGGCTTTCTAACTAACCTATAAAGAGGTTTAACTCTTTCCATACAAGGTTGGTTGGTGTGGCCGACCTTGTAACATGTGGTTAGAAACTGAAAGTCTATAGTTTAAATTTTATCACTGTTTCATGAGATAGCTATTACAGGCATAAGTTTGTAGCTTCTAGGCAGTGCATGGCTAGTGGACTGTGAATCCAAGGGTTTGTGGTTTGCACTCTTTTACCACAAACATATGTTCTGCATTTTTGGTCCATTGGTGTACAGTTAAACATGGTAAAATCTCTCAGTTCAGTCCGACTATAGTAGCCGAAACGTTGACTAGCTACCTTCCCTTTAGTCTTATCTGTTCAAAATTAAATACAGCTGTACACAGAAGGCATGTATGTTGTTCTGCATGAACATTTTAAGCAATCAAGCTTCTGAAATATTGTATCCAGCTTGGGAAATTCTAAACTTTTAACAGTCAACCTTTTTAAGTCTACATATGCAATTTCAATTATAATGTAAATTCACTAGAGAATACATGAAATAGAGAGAAATAATTTACTTTTTTACTTTTCTTTGATGTATTCAGTTTTTGATTATACTTAGAGGTTATTTTTTATTTTAACTTCATGACTATGTTTAATCTATCTAGGCAGAGAATAATTTAAAAAATGTATGTTCCAGTGGGTTCCACGAAGGGTACTTGCAGAACAAGGCCCTCGAACCATTCATCAGATTCGAGAAGAAGCAGCTAAAGATTATGGTGTGTACACACCTAATTCTTGTGTGATAGGAGGAAGAAACATGCAGGTTCCCACTCCTCCTTTACTGATGGGAGTCAAAGGTCGTGGTGGAATGGATGATGTGTTTGGACCTTTACCGATAGGTAGAAAGCTTTATTGTTTTGGTTTGAACATAATTCACTGGGGCCGATTCCATAATGTGTTTGTTGAATGTAAACTCTCATTTGGGAACTCTTTGACAGATAATGCAGTTAGCATTGAAATTTCTTCCAACAGTTAAAAAATTATGTTTGCATCATCCCTACATGATAGCACAGGGACACAGTGTAGTAGAATGTTAACAGACAAAAATAGGATTAATTAAACACAATTATGATTAGATAGTTATACATGTATGTTAATTCTTGCCTGTGCTACTATTTTGTTTACTTTGTTTTATAAGGATTGATATTAGCCATCCCTACATGTACTTCCTTTTTAACAGAAATGAAGTATTTTTTAAGAGTAGACAAAGGTGTTATAACTGGTTTAAATATTTGGTAATTTTTTGTGCTGATTTTTTAAAAATTGTAATAAATCCTTTTATTAATATTAAATTCCAGCCGATTGATGAAACTTGATATTTTTAGTAGTTAAGTATTGTTATTTCAGTAGTTAAGTGTTGCTATTTCAGTAGTTAAGTGTTGCTATTTCAGTAGTTAAGTGTTGCTATTTCAGTAGTTAGGTGTTGCTATTTCAGTAGTTAGGTGTTGCTATTTCAGTAGTTAGGTGTTGCTATTTCAGTAGTTAGGTGTTGCTATTTCAGTAGTTAGGTGTTGCTATTTCAGTAGTTAGGTGTTGCTATTTCGGTAGTTAGGTGTTGCTATTTCGGTAGTTAGGTGTTGCTATTTCGGT